TATATTTAATAACATATAAAAATTATAGGTTAAATGCTAAATTTGGTCCCTCAACTTTAGTAAGTTGCACATTTTTGGTCCCTTAACAATTTTTTGCACTTTTTTTATCCCTCAACTATACAAAATGCACTCCGTTAATCCTTCTGTCAATTTGGGCCGTTAACTCGGCCACATGGTATTTTTTATATTTTTTTTTATGACATGGCGAGCACAACTTAAAAAGATGCTTATCTAGACTTTTTTTTTTTATGACATGTCATCTTCTTCACGCCAAACCCCTCCAATGGATCCTAATTGCCTGCAAATTGGTCTCTCATCTTCATCCTCTGCAAAATCGATCTTAACCCATTTCTTCTTATTCTCTGAATGCTCTCTCATCTCCACTCCATTTGCAAAATCGATCTTAACCCATTTCTTCTTATTCTCTGAATGCTCTCTCATCTCCACTCCATTTGCAAAATCGATCTTAACCCATTTCTTCTTCTTCTGTGAATACTCTCTCATCTCCACTCCATCTACAAAACTGATCTTAACCCACCCATTTCTTCTTCTTCTCTTTTCTCGGGGAAACTTGAGCTACTGGGTTTCATTGAAACATCAAACCTGACAGATCTTATCAAATCAAAATAACCCTTCAATAAACAATACCAATCAAACTCTAATTGAATTTCAACAAAAATATAATCAAACTTTAATCAAATTCCAACAAAAATGCAATCAAATTATAAATCAATCTCCAAATTTATTAACAATTGGAAATGGAAATCGAAAGAAGAATGAAAAAACAAGAACCCAGCCTTCCCAGCAAAGTTGGGTTCCGACGAACCCAGCCTTGGTTGGTCAACGAACCCAACCTTCCATTGAACCCAGCCTTGCTGGGTTTGTCGAAACCCAGATCTGTTGGGTTCCAATGAACCTAGCCTTGGCTAGTCGACGAACCTAGCAAGGCTAGGTTTCCACCGAACCTAGTAAGGCTGGGTTTCCACCGAACCCAACCTATCCCAGGGCAGGAAAGAAAGAAAGAAAGAGAAAGAAAGAAGGGGAAGAAGAGGGATTGGGAGGGTGAGCGTGAGGGTGAGGGTAATTAGGTAAATTTATATGTTTTTAATTAAAATATGTATATTAATCTATGTGGCATTTTTATTTATTTATATAACATAACTATAATATATATTATTGCC